ACTCGTTATTACAAAAAGGAATTTATCCCTACGAATACATGAACTCGTATGATAACTTTCAAGAGACCAGCCTACCACCCATCGACAAGTTTTACAGCAGACTAAAAGACGAACATATATCGCAACAAGACTACGACAGAGCTCAACGCGTGTGGAACGAGTTTAATATACACAATCTAGGAGAATATCACGACTTGTACGTGACTACCGATACGTTATTACTTGCAGGCGTATTTGAAAACTTTAGAAGAACGTGCATTACAAACTACGGGTTAGATCCAGCCAATTATTACACCGCACCCGGATTGTCCTGGGATGCTCTATTAAAACACTCGGAAGCTAAACTCGAACTGTTGCAAGAAGTCGACAAACATTTATTTTTTGAAAAAGCAAAACGAGGAGGCATATCTAGCGTGGAATGAGACATCACAAAGCCAATAATCAATATCTCGATGACTACGATTCAAACAAGCCCTCGAGTTATATCGCTTATCTGGATGCCAACAATCTGTACGGTTGGGCTATGAGTCAATATCTACCGTACAGCGATTTTAAATGGACACCCTCGAAACCGTTTACCGAAGAAAGAATATTAACGCTTAAGAAAACGTTTAACACTGGTTACTTTTTTGAAGTAGATTTAGACTACCCGCACGATCTACACGCCAAGCATAACGATTATCCCCTAGCACCCGAAAATTTAGTCGTACCCCAAGCTTGGACGGTTGATTATCAAAACGAGTTATTGGATACCGAACCTAGTAGCGACGTACAAAAAATAACGTGTACCCTTAATCCTAAACAAAAATATGTGTTGCACTACGTCACGTTACAGTTATACCTTGATCTCGGTTGGAAACTTAAAAAGGTGCATCGCGTGTTAAAATTTAAACAAGCGCCTTGGATGAAATCTTACATCGATAAAAACACGCATCTCCGAACAAAAGCAACCTCTGATTTTTAGAAAGACTTTGAATAAACTGATGAATAACAGCGTGTTTGGTAAGACGAGCGAAAACGTTAGAAATCAAATAGACGGTTACCTACTGAGAGACAATAACGATGACGATCAAGCAAAATACAAAAAAAAATAATTCAAAAACCGAGCTATAAAACAACAACGCCGTTTCCAGAATGTGACCTGTCGTTTGTCGAAACATATAAAACGACAACCATCGTCTCAAAGACGCTGATGTACGATTTTAATTACAACCGATTGAAAGACAAATACGGAGATAAAATCAGGTTGATGTATACGGATACGGACAGTCTGTTGATTGTCGTTTACACGGATGACATATACAAATACATGCGATCTCACGGGCGACACTACGACTTTTCAAATTACAATCTGGATCACGAGTTATACGACTCAACCAATAAGAAAGTGATCGGTAAATTTAAAGACGAGTTTGTGTAAGACCTAAGATGTACTCGCTTTTAGCGGATGACAACAACATCACTCTTAAAAAGGCCAAGGGGGTCACAAAATTGGTCACTGACAAAAAATTAAAACATCGACACTAACGACTGCATCTTTAAAAATAAATCTAAAACAGAAACGATGACTCAAATTCGATCGGAAAAACACATCCTTTACACCATATCGCTAGATAAATCGTCGTTGAGTCCGTTAGATACCAAGAGGTACATTTTACCGGATGGAGTACACACGCTCGCCTATGGTCACCGTAATCTAGATATTAATTAGGCAGTAATTGCGTGTCGTCGGGTACGACTTGAAGCTCTTGTCTCACAAAACTCCTTTTTGGGCCATTTTGAAGGTAATAAAGCGTGGGGCCCGTCATGGCTTTTTTACCGTTAACACTGAAAACAAAAACTGGTCATGCTGACAAGATAGATCTTGTTTCGCCCGAGTGTCTGTACTGACAAGAACTCACTTGTCTAACTGACAAGTTGTAATCTCGTCATGATCTTGTTTACATCTCGTCATGATTTTGTTTACATCTCGTCATGATCTTGTTTACATCTCGTCATGATCTTGTTTACATCTCGTCATGATCTTGTTTACATCTCGTCATGATCTTGTTTACATCTCGTCATGATCTTGTTTACATCTCGTCATGATCTTATTTACATCTCGTCATGATCTTGTTTACATCTCGTCATGATCTGGTTTACAACTCGTCATCATCTCGTCATGATCTGGTTTACATCTCGTCATGATCTGGTTTACAACTCGTCATCATCTGGTTTACAACTCGTCATCATCTGGTTTACAACTCGTCATCATCTGGTTTACAATTACTAGTCATGATCTGGTTTACATCTAGTCATGATCTGGTTTACATCTAGTCATCATTTGGTTTACATCTAGTCATCATTTGGTTTACATCTAGTCATCATTTGGTTTACATCTAGTCATCACCTCGTCACTATCCTGCTGGCATCTCGTCATTATCTTGTGATAATCTAGTCAGTGTCTTGTTTTGATCTGTCAATATTTTTGTCTTGTGTAGGCCTTTATCATGCCATGCTCTGTATTTTGAAATTGACATTATTTAGCCATCTTGAGACGCCTTCAAAACGAAAAAGAACACATGAAATAAACAATGCATTGCTTTGAATTACTTTATTTTATCAGTTACATCCCAATGACTCATTAAGTTAAACACCACTCTTAAATAACGAGGACATGAAATGAAATACAAGTGAAAAACTAATTGCAACAATACAATTTCCACAACAAAAAAATCTTCAGATCAATCAAATTGAATTAAAGGACTAGGAGCTACGGCAAGATTTGTGGATTTGCACTCGGGATTCACAATACCTTAAAAACTGTGAAATCTTGACAGTTGAACTAATTGAGGTGGGTCAACAGTAAAAAAAAAAAAAAATCAAAAATATCTTTTGGCAACAAGTTTTGTTTACAATTTCTTTTGCACATATGACCTTTTATTGAAGTCACAACAAGGCTTAACAATTTTCCATCATGTACATGTAGTTGGTGCATTCTTTACATTCTTTTGCACCACATCACATCCATTTCCACCAGTGAAATAAAAGGTGAAAATAGAACCTTTTTCGAATTTGCTGAAACTAGTTATGAAACTCTCGAGATCAATCCTTTCAAATTACATGGCCAGGAGCTAGTATAAGATTTGTGCCCTGGTTTCAGTGGATTTGCGCACAGGATTCACAAAACCTTTAAAAAAATGATCAAGTTAATACTTGAGACTTGAACTTGAGGTGGCTCAATAGTTTAAAAAAAGAGAGACTATTTTGGCAACAGTTTCTTTTTTTTTATAATATATTTTTTCACCCGAGGCCTTTTATTCAAGTCACAACAAGGCTTTAAGGAACAATTTTCCATCATGTAGTTGGTACATTCTTAACATCCTTATGAACCACATCTCTTCAAAAAGCCACATCCATTTAATAAAAATAAAACTTCAACATTTAATTTTTTTCAGATTTGCTGAAAGTAGTCATAAAAGCTCAGTACATTTGGGCATGGAATCAAACATTCTCAAGATCCAGGAGAAAAAACACACAAGGTTTAACAAGTTAAGTTTTACAAGAGTCAAATTTTGGCCACACAAATCTCAAAATCAGTCTTTTGAAATCAAACCAAATTTGAAACAGAAAACAGAACCAGGACCGAATTTGGGAAGAGTTGCATACACGGATAGCAAGTGAACTATCAGCCATCAGGAAGTGGTAACATGTTCTAACAAAAAGTAAACTTTAGGCCAAAAAAAAATTACTCGGTCTGTGGTCAGCGCGCGTGTCCATTTTAATCATGCGCGTCGATCTCTTTTGCCGTGCCTCCTCAAATTTTTGTACCAAGGAGCACCAAGGAATGGGGAAATTGCACCAAGGCAAATGATAAAGGGCACCAAGGCAAATTATGGAGGACACCAATGTATAATGAGGACACAAAATAAGCAAAATAGTACCCACCTTGTCTGTACAATACAAGCTTGATTAAAAAAAAAACCGCGTCGCCGCATCAATTCCGGAACTGCGGTCTGATCAGAGACCGGCTATCTTTTTTTTGTTGGCCTTAGCAATGAAAATATTGAAGCATTTACTTGGAAAAAAAATGCAGACCAGTCTAATAGGGTTTGTGCACAGGGTGTTAAGAGTTGTCCTTGTTTGGAACTCTTTCCCTGAATTTATCCACTTAGAAATCATTCAAGAACATGATGGTCAAAATTGTTTATCAAAAACAATTTCTACATTTTTACATGTTTTGCACATCTGTGCTGACATGTTCTTGGGTTCTTTGTTGGTAATAACTACTGAGTTAAAGTTTCAAGGAGGGCACACACACTAGTGTGGACCTTTTCCTTGTCCTGAATGTTCAGGATAGGCCTTTGGAAGAATTGAAGTGTTTTCTTCAACTTCTTGGGATACGACAGGTTAAAAACATAAAAAGATGCAAAATAAACCTCAAATGCGGAAAACAAGTGGGATGTCTTCATGACTACCTCTTCTTCGATGACGACCTTGAATGTGGTGTCGTCCTGTTGGTGGATGATAGGATCCATTTGTGATTCTCCGGTCTAAAAAGGGAAAACAAAAAGAGTTATCAAAATGAGTGAGTGGATGCATGGATGATTGAAGGCCAAGTTTCAGTAGAAGTGTTGCAATAACCCAAGTATTAGCCCCCACACAAGCTTCTCAGTAAAAGCAGGCTGCTTAAAGCTATAGTCCATCATTTGCAGCTACCCAAAATGTAACTGATGATATTATTTATTTAAAAAAATTGAGTGGCACGATACATTTTGAGCACCGTGATTTTTGTTGATTCAAATGAACACAATACAAATTGCAAATGATGGACTATGTAGCCAAAGAAGCCCAGTGATCGGGTGTCTGGGATATCGGTGCATTTTCATTTAGGTTTTTCACAGTATGGCTGAAATACTGACAGGCGTCTTTCCACAGAAACCGGGGCTACCGTCCCCAGGTAAAAAGCAGTGCACATTTGTGCCGGACACTTGTATGCAGATCAGGCAGTGTATGCAGATTCAACATTTCTTCAATTTCACCTGCAGGTTAAGTACTAATGTATGAAGCTACAAGTGAATATGCAGACATTCACAGTACTTACCATGCAAGTGAGATGAGGTGGTGAAGATATGAGCATGTCACTCAATTTGAATCAGTTCCAAAACAATGCATTGAATTTGAAAATTTCACCACATGTTTATGGGTCTAAACACTTTCAACGTTTAATCATTGCATAATCTTACATGTACCTGTTGAGTCAGCAGATGATCCAGCTTCTTCTTCAGTAGTAATGGCACCACAGCAATGGAAGCACAGTATGCCTTTTCTGGAATAGATTAAAAGTACCATTAAGTTATGTTTCAGATTACTTTGACTAAAGCCTAGTACCACATTCAAATAATGAATACGCTTCTTATATGCATTAGATGACAGCACTTACCCCTACGATTTTCTTCAGTTGTTTCAAGTGATGCCAATTCAATCAGCTTCTTGATGACAGTGTGATCTTGCTTCTTTGCGAGACAGAAAAGCCGATCATGGTACCGCTTCAAACCAGTTGCAAGTTTCCTCCCCAGGTCTTCTGTTGAAATCCGCTTAAACTCCTTTAGAACCTGCACAATAAGGATACAATATTCATACTAAAAACAGTAGAAAATAACATTTTGAAATGGACTGCACCTTTACAGTTTAAATTTAACATTGCTTTAAAAGCCTAGTACTTGGAAGTAAATTGACTCATTTTGTGTTCAGTTATCACATTACTTGTTCTCAATAGCAAGTTAAGTGCCAGCCAGAAGCAATATAAATACCTCGCTTCCCCCTGCAAGAAGTGCAGGAAAACCTGCCTTGATGTCAGCCATCAGTGGATTGCCTTTGATGATGAATTCCCTGCGGTCAGCAAATGTCAGTGCCATCTGGCGATCAACACGACTCCGGTCTGGGTTTCTCTTCGCGAGTTCCACCTTCATAGCAGCTTGATGTCGTTCAATTGAAGTACTGTCTTCGCCCTCTGGTCGCTGACTGATGTAGTTTTTGAGTCCCCACATGAGCTTGTCGTTCTTTGTTGGAGGTGGTCCTGCTGCTGTACTAGTTGGATCTGCAAGTCGGCGTTTTCCCGGCACACAATCTCTACGCCTTCGGTCATTTTGAAACCTATATTGAATCCGTTGACGCCACAGACTCTGAAAACAAGAAAATGTAATTCTCATCATTAAGCAACAAACAAGGTGTCCTTGGGGTGTTGGGTTGTTTGTTTGTTTATTTGATTTTGTATTCACACAAAAATGTTATGCATGTATTGGGAAAAACCTGGCTCGATGAAGATAAAAATGTTGGTGTGAATACAAAAGGAGCCTAAAATAATGGATCACTTAGTTTTTTTCTCACCTGGGAGGTGATACATGTAGATAAAACTTGGATAAAAGCCGGGCATAATGTGCATTGATTTGGGATTGAATGAAATTTCACCATTTTATCTCGTGAACAACTGACTTACAGGTTGGGAAAGGACGGAGCTTACATGCATAATTGCGGTGACACAAAAGCGGTTAGTTTAGAAATGTGTGCTTATTTTGAAATACAAATGTGGTCATACATATGAGCAAATAATGTTGCATAAAAATTATTCAATGTTTATGGAATTAATAGCATATGTGTGACTCTGGCAGTTGGCTTCATTTAGATTTTATGGTTATGATCACAAAGCACAAAGCAAATCCTACAGGTTCAGTTTTCTGTTATATACTGCAAAGTTGAGTGTATATGCTTCATCAACATAATGTTAAGTTCTTACCATTGACAAATTTTCATTGGATTTCACCTTGGGAAACTTCTCCATGAAGGCTGTGACCACCTCGGTGTACTGCCACTCTTTTGGGTAACTGTGGAAACAGAAATAAAGAGAAATGCCAATCATGATTGTAAAATTATTCAATCCCCACTCCAGTGTGTAATCAGTGGTGTAAATCCCAGTTGGAGGGGGGTAGTAGCACAGTAATAGTAATAGATGGGTTATTGAATCATCCCCCTCTCCACTTTTCCGTGATAAAAAAAAAATGCGGATTTGGACCTTTTTTAACTGCCCAACAACCAGACTGATGTATTCAGCTTAAAATGCGCCATTTTGATGCAAGGTTAAGGCACGTTAGTATACATAGGATGTACCTCTGTACCACGAACAGTGCCCCTAGTGTAATGAGGTGTCTAGCACCCCCCCCCCCCCCCCCCTCGGCAAGGACAATTTTTGATTTTGGTCATCCACTATCCTCCATATCACACCCCCTCCCCCACTGGCTGGCATAGATTTACGCCACTGTGTGTGAAAACTCATTGCAGAACAGTGGCGTAGCAAGGAATTTCCAGTGGGGGGCGCTCGGGGGGCTGGAACATTTCATTGGGGGGGGGGGGGGGGGGGCGTCATGTAGATCAATGATAATTTTTTTAGAAACTCAAAATCTCAGTGGAGGGGCGACTGGGGGGGGGGGGGGCGACAAGGTTTCATGGTGGGGCTGTCGCCCCCCCCACCCCCCCCACACACGCCCCCCGTGGCTATGCCACTGTTGCAGAATCAAGAAAATCCAGAAACGTAAGATTTGAAAGGAAAAAATAATGTCCATTTCAGGTTGCTGGTAGGGATTCACTTTTGCTTTAAGTATAAACGGAAATAAATCAAAAGTGTTGCACAACTTAAACTACTTTGTGTGAAACTTGTAATTTGTGTGGAAATAGGATGCTGTTGGAATAAAGTACAGGCAGTTTTTGACTGAGCTTGAATCATAACGTGACCAAAGGATTATGTGCATCTTGAGAAAGGCATAATTGCAATCCAAACTTTCAGACTTACTATGTATACTTTGTGACCTCCTGGTAGACAGCATCTGTGATCTGTGTCCTCTCTCCCCTACTGAGCTGTTCACCACTTCGCAGCTTCTGCAGCACTCCAGCACGTACAGCATATACCGGAAAATTGAACTGGACTGGCCACACACGGAAAGTCTTTGGTGAAGTTGCGGTACTCAAAGTAGGGCTGTTGAAACATAACATTAAAATGAAGCAATCCTACATGTACTTCATCTTCACACAATCAAACCGGCAACTGTAAGGGATATAAAATAGTCCCTCATAAAAACTGTAATAAATATAAGTATTTTGAGATAATGGAAATATGTGTACAGTTTTTAAGGGGATTTTACTTTATTTTGTTTCATTCTATTTTTTATCACAGGGGTGAAGGTGTTTACAAAACAAAAACCACACCCACCGACTTTGGGGACTTGGTTTTTACATTGTTTCATTTAAATATTAAAGCTTATGACTGCATACATGGGGTATGGTCATCTTGACAATGCATGTATTTCTGGCAGAATCCATTATTTATTTTTATAATATGCAAGTTAATCAAGGTTTAACAGGCCTGTGATGATTTTCAGTGATCTATCAAAGCAAAACTTACCCTTCACTGGCTTTAGGAGATTCACCGCTGCATTCAGACACTGGAGTAGGCACAGCTTCATCATGTTCATTATCAGAATTAGCTGCAGTCATCAGGACTTGCAATCTCGTCATATTTTCAAGGGAAGACATTGGGGCCACATCAAGCCAATCTCCAAAATCTTTATCAAAATACTGCAGTTGCACTTGTTCCCCATCTCTTGGTATTTTGAATTGTTCACATATGGACTTGGTTATCTCATCCACATTTCCCCTTTCATTTGCAGATTCATGCTCAATGATCCGTTTCGAACTCTTGTATGTGACATGGAATTTGAGACGCATTTTCTGGAAGGAAAATACAGCCATTTTGTGTGTTGATGATCATCTACCACTCAGTGCAAGTAATTTCAGTCAGTATGCGATATCTTGTGTCTTAGGATTACTAATTTGTTTTTAGGTTCTGCTGGATAATCATACACATCAAGTGGGTGGTAGTCAATGGCATCCATTGGTTTAATCAACATATACATGTGAAGTTGTTCCACAATATACCCGTGGTAATGGACACTGAAAAATAAGGTGTTGAGTCTAGTACACAGAAGGTATGGAATGTTGCCAATGATGAAACAGTCCTCAATCATGATGAATACAGGTAAACTATCACTGTATCTGAAAACCAAACATGAGCCACAGCAGTATTTCACACCATTGACCTTGAGGCAGTTGCACTCAAACACTTGGTCTTGACCTCCTAAAAGTGGTTCCAACAGATCTTGAACCTCCTTCAACAAAAGCCTGACAAAACTAAGTTTTCCACAATTTGTGTCAATTTGCTGTGTTTCCAAGTAGTTATCAGATGCGAGGAAAATTGTCTGCATAAACTGATGCCTGACAGCCATACTTTTACAGATGTTTTTCCGGTTTTTTAAGCCGTGAGTAACTTCTTCGAAGTAGTTATGTTTTCCCTCAAATCGGAGAGTCCAACAATGGATAAGTGGACCAAATCGCAGAATCTGCCAAGGATAATGCAGTGTATAGTGGCCTCTAGGTTTGACATTTTCATCAGGAAATTCCGTTGTATATGTGTACCAGAAATCCTCTATGAGATCGGAAAGAAAAGCCACATCGCCCTCTGAACAAACTGGTGCACAAATTGCTTCCATCATGAACATGATACGTAACAGAACATTCCACTGAGGGTTGTGCTCAGGAACCTTGTCGCCAATTAAAATTGGGAACAGCCTCAACATGCACCAACACTGCATAGCTGTTTGCTTAACCCTGAAATCTGCCACTGTTGAAGCCATTCTAGTGGGTTTATTCACCCTGTCAGTTTTACCATAGGAAAAACTCTCAATCCTTGTGTTAAAGTGGTCAAGACTGAAGTAATCCTCAGACACAAAGTACAATACAAGATTCTGAAGTACCTCGGGCACAAGCCCCTCAAAAAGGTCATGAGCAATGTCCGACGGAAGTCCCCTAGTAACATGGAAGTATTCAAGCTCATTAAGAACACAATCGGTCTTCACGCCATATGCTGTCGCCAATGTCCTATCTTCGGAAACCATTGTAACCTGTGCATTGTAGCTCTCCCTTGTTCTCATTTCACAACTTTCAACAGTCAAGCATTCATCAAGTTCTTGTCTCGTGGCCATACAGAAACGACTGATCCTCAAGCCATTGAAACTTTCATTGAATCCTCCAAGTGAATGAGCACCAAGATTATCTGCTGAAACAAATGACACTGTGCCTCTGAAGTGATGCTCATGGCCATTTTTATTCACACAAACACCATCCTTTTCTAACACTGCCAGATCATTAATCAACGGCTGTAGTACTTTCTTAAATCCATACTTTTTCAAGTGTTTGGATTTGCACAAAAGAGCAAGCTGGAGGACGTGCAACTTAGACCTGTATTGTGGTGACAAATTTCCCAGCACAAAATAAAATGCTACAAGTTTGTAATTCTTGACCTTATTTCCAAGGGGATTCACAATGTTGAAGTCATCATAATATAACTCGACCTGTAAACTTGAAGAGTCAGAGGCAAATAAAACATTTTCCCTGAAGAAAGCACCATCACAAAAATCCCTCAATTTACCATCCTCAGACATATGACCCTGCACAACCTCTGCAAATATATCCTCATTCTGTAAGAGTAACTCCACTGTTTTCAAAATGGGTATGTACTGTGTGGATTCACATTTTCCCTTAATATCTACTCCAAGTACAAATTCAATTGGTTCAACATAGGGGAACTCAGACTGAACATAACCACTCAGTTTTCTGTTATCCTCCAAACTGTGAAAAATGTCCTCTAATTCTGTTGACTGAATAACAGCCATGGCAGTTGCAATCGCATCCCGATTGACACCATCTTCAAGAAGTGCTGCATCCAACTCAGAATGCACCTTTGCTTTAGACATCTGCAAAATATTTACCAGCTCTGATGCAACAAAACTACAAACAGTCCCTGGCACTTTATGTAACTCTCTCAGTTTCAGAAGAAACAGTGTTACCTTACGCCTCAAATCTATTTGCATGGGTGGGCCTATGTTTTGTACATCTTCCATATCCACATCTTCTTGATCTTGTAAGCCTACTTGCTCAGGTGCTGCTATAGCTTGATTTAGTTCGTTGACATCATCAATACCATCATTTTCAACTGCATTCGCATAATGCATGTGGTAAAAGTTTCTGTGAAATCTTTTGAGGTGTTTGACAAAGCATCTTACAGAAGAAAGATTCCTGTGACACCCATTTACATCACAAACAATTCTAAATCTGCCATTTCCAATTTCATGAACAAACCTATAATGGTTTAACAGCCTCTTGAAATGAGGCGTTTCATATTCACAATAAATGCACACAAATACTTGAATGTTGTTCTGGTCTTCCATCATGTCCATAAAGCCTAGTGCATTTCAATTTGATGAGACACGATTTATAACGTTAGGCACTACTTGTTATATTTTTTGCCAGACGATGCACTTATGATGCACTTATGATGCACTTGTGTGATACGATGAAAAAGTAGCAAAATTTCCAAACGGACACATGAGCGGCAGGCCACTGCTCACTATGCCTATTGACTGTACATGCATTGTGTGCGTGTGTAGCCTATACATGAGACATGATGGGGTCTCAGTCAAAGACGGGTTAAGAAAAACGACCTATGTTCATGGCAAGTCTACCTCAAAAGCATTATTTGTTAGCACCAAATGATTCACTGGAAATAAGTGGGTAATGATCGTCACACACAAAATGTTACCTTTTTCAGAAAGTTGCCAGCATACTAAGAAAAGATGTCAAACATTGGCCCAACTCAAGTTTGCCAAGAGCACTAGGGAACGACCGCCGTGCACTAAGGAAAATGCAATGTCGCGGATATGCGCGCGTAGCGTGCACGCGCATGTGTATGTACATACAATGTATCAACTTCCAGGCCGTTTTATCTGATTACTAGAGCCTTTCTCAAACCTCGGCTTCGTCAACAGCTTTGGATCTGCCTCTGGACCCAGAAACATTCGCACTTATTTCGCAGGCCAATGTAATGTTCAGATATAATGTACATGTAATTCTCCATCTTTGGCTTCACAACATTAAGTTTGATGTCCCTATATCGAAAATTTGACTCATATTGAGCTGAAATCGCCAAAGTTAGTGACCGAAAAACTCAGGCTTAGCCAAATCGGAGGCGAAACCGAGGTTTGAGAAAGGACCCTGTTTGGCGCGAATAAAAGTTCTGTTCGCCCTCGCGCTGTACGCATGCGTGCGCGTGAAGCAACAGCCAATAACAGCTCCCCACGCAACGAGCGCATGCACTGATCGATAATAATCTTGTCATCTGGCACTAGGGGCGTACGTATCTTGTCAGTGTGACAAACGGATCTCGTCGAATTTCATTGACAAGATAGGTTCTTGTCACTATGACCAGAACCCCCGCACCAAATGTTTTCAGTGAATCATTTTAAATTGACTCGTTCTTTTTTCAATGTTGAAGATATCTATGCTCCAAATGGGATCCGTGGCTCTTCTAGAAGTTCCACCCTCTTGCTCACCCGGGTAATATAAATATCTAACTATGGCATCTTGCGGTAATTGTTGCTCTTTTGTTTTAACGGGGTTAGCCGGCGATTGCCGGACCTGATCTAGTTTTACCGCCTCTGACGGTGCTTTATCTATTAATCTGGCCGTTTCATCGTTTATAGCCTTGATCACGCTTGGTAATCGCTCGACCCATTGCGTGTTTCTACTCTCGGGATTTAACATTTCTTGAGCGTACTGATGACCAAACAGTCTCTCGGCTAGCGTTCGATTAAATCTTTCTACGATAGCCTGCGATCGGTGGTTTTTCTGGTTCGCCGACGATAATCTCGACGTTTTTTGAGGTCATCCATTTTTTAAATGCACCTTTAAATTCGGTACCGGCGTCTACTCTTGAGGTAACTCAAAGGAGACCTCGCGTAAATCTTGACGATAGCATCCCGCGTGGAATCCGCCGTCTTAGAAACCAAAGGTTCTGCTTCGTGGTATCGACTCGCAACGTCGACAACCGTCAAAGTGTATTTATAAGTCTTGCGTTTTACTTTATCCCAGGGAAGGTATAGCACATCCATTTGGTGAAAGTCGTTTGGTGTTTCAAACTCTCGAAAAGTACTCGTAGGCCTGGGTACATACGCAGGACCCGGTAGATAAATTTGCCAAATTGCTTGTTTTTTAAGCCAATCTCTGATTATCTTTTTATCGATTTTTGTTTTATCGTGTAAATGGTCGACGGCACTTTCACCTCTCCAATAACCGCTCGGGCTATAATACAGTTTAGATAATGTTTGCATATTATTTAATATAAAAGACGTTTATAATAATATGGCTAGCCTTGCTATGATGTTAGGAGGCGCGATCGTCAACGTCTTAACTTTTACTGGTTCAAACTTTTTTTATTTTCAAGTCTGAAACAGAGCGACGAGGAGCATAAGGGACACGATTTAGCGATAGAACAACTCGCAGCCGCCAGAGATAAGTGGCAACGAGAACGAACGAAATATCTAGATTTTCTCAACGCACGTATCAGAAAACAAACTGCCTCTAAAGTAACATTTTCCAACGTAGACCGAGCGTTGCGTTACTATAACGAGGTGCATGAGTGCACAATCTACCAAACTACCCGTAGGACTGCAACGCGAGCCCAAACTCGAAGATTTTACGAGCCTAGCGACCAACACATAGAAAGAGAACTCGCGTTTATCGCGGGAGGAACGCTATTGGTGTTTTTTTTGGCTTACAGATTCTTTTCAATTTAAAACTCGTATAAATAAAATAAATGCTTACGGAAAAAAGCTCAATCCTAGCAGGCTATTAAAAATACCCAAATCTATCAAGGGTGAGAGAAAAGAGGTGGTCATTACCCACAATCCTAGTAGTATATCGGAGGGGCAAAAGCTGACGTTCAAGTTTCCTCAATTGGGTGTATATGACGTGATCGTACCCGGCACTTGTAAACTAGCTTTTAATATAGAACTCGAAAGTGGAAGCGACAACAATAGAACATCGCTGTCGGTCAACAGAGAATCATCTTTTTTGGACAAGGTTCGGCCGTATCGCGTGATTTTTCCCTGGTAGGCGGTAGTAGCGCAACGTTACTGTAAACGCTGAAGGGTACCAGTATGTTGTCAAGGAAGGCGCGCGCAGGAGTCGGACTATACAGTACCATACAATTTCCCGTTGCGTCCATGCGTATGCGTACAGTAGCATCTTGGAGCAAATTTGCTTATCCGTTTCTGCTTACATGTTTGTATTTTGTATTGTAAATGACTATTACTCTCAAAGAGAAGCGCTATATAGAAGCGGTTTCAGTTTGTAAGCCTGATTGTCAACGACAACACATTTGAAAGTTGCCTGGTTGTCATTGCAGCATGACTCGCCGTAAGCCAACGTGCAAGTATCTACATTCGAACCTTCGTGGGTTTTATCGATAGCACCGCCATTACATGACGTGTTACAAGTATCTGCATGTGAAGTACGTTCATTATACGAGAATATCTGTGTACTGAAGCTCACACAGGACCTGTCATTCGCAATCCTCGATACAAACATAAACACTTTGTCGTTCATCGGCCCCCATCAAAATAATCACCGTTTTAACAAAAACAACCCTTTGTTCAGCAACAGAGAGTTGTTAAGGAACAACAAAACAGCGAATTTGCTGTTGGGTTACAAAACGACAACACTTAATCATCTGTTGCAAAACAGTAGAATCCCCTGTAAATGAACAATATCAAATAAAATAGAATCTGCTGTTAATGTACAGAGAAAAAAGAAACAGTAGAATATACTGTGCAAAAACAGTAACTCCTGTAATGCCAATTGACAATAGAATGTACTGTTAATGAACAGACATTTTTTTAACAGTGTACGGCGGTAATTGCGTGTCATCGGGTATGACTTGAAGCTCTTGTCTCACAAAACTCCTTTTTGGGCCGTTTTGCAGGTAATACAGCGTGGGGCCCGTCGTCACTTTTTTCCGTTAATCATTTTAAATTTACTCGTTCTTTTTTCCACGTTATAAATCTTTACGCTCCAAATGGGATCCGTGGCTCTTCTCGAAGTACCCCCTCTTGCTCGCCCGGGTAATATAAATATCTAACCATAGCGTCTTGCGGTTAATTCTGCTCTTTTGTTTTAACGGGGTTAGCCGGCAATTGTCGGACCTGTTCTAGTTTAACCGCCCCTGACGGCGCTTTAGCTGTTAATCTTGTCGTTTCGTCGTTTATTGCCTTGATCACGCCGGGTAATCGCTCGACCCATTGCTTGTTTCTACTGCGCCTTGAAATTCTTTACCAGCGTCTACTCTCAACGTTTTAGGGTAACTCAAAGGCGATCTCGCGTAAATCTTATCAATAGCATCCTGCGTGGAATCCGCCGTTTTAGAAACCAAAGGTTCTGCTTCATGGTATCGACTCGCAACGTCGACTACCGTCAAAGCGTATTTATAAGTCTTGCGTTTTACTTTATCCCAGGGTAAGTACAGCACATCCATTTGGTGAAAGTCGTTTGGTGTTTCAAACTTTCGCAAAGTATTCGTAGGCCTGGGTACATACGCAGGACCCGGTTGGTAAATCACCTTTTTATCGATTTTGGTTTTATCGTGTAAATGGTCGACGGCACTTTCACCTCTCCAATAACCGCTTGGGCTATAATACGGTTTAGATAATGTTTGCATATTATTTAATATAAAGACGTTTATAATAATGTCTGGCGTTGCTATGATGTAAGGAGGCGCGATCGTCAACGCCTTAGCGATCTAGCACGGCCGTTTCATTCCCATTAACGCAACGTTATCAACTTTGTGGAATTCGTTGCCGCGTGTTTTATTTACTCCAGTGCGCCCTCTGTTGTTACGTCACTCCTGGGGAAAATACAAGATGGCGTCCTCCATGGGACGAAAAAAAATCGTTAAAAAACCCCTCAAATATTGGACTTTATTAAACAATGGCTCTACAAAAAAATCAAATTATGAAGTGTCGAGTGTTTCTCTTCTTTGTTTTCTCCTTTTACAAGTGTTACATGTGTGAAATATATTAGCAAACCCCCGAAAATATGACATTTTTTACGTTTTCTGTGTGAACATTTTCGTCGCAGTTTTTTTATCGAGTAAAAAAAAGACATCGTTAAAAATCCCATTCTAATTGATCCCAAGTTTTCTGACATAATTTGTTCTAAATTTTGATAAACAATTATAATGTTCACATAACTCTGAATTTTCATTGAAAAGCCATCGATAGATTTCTTTAAAAAGGGCTGTAAAGTGGAAGTAGTTTCACGCCTGCGGGCGCGCGTTTTTGCAGTGATGTACGTGTATTGCTTATGGCGATGCCGATGGCGCGAGATTTGAAGATCTTCAAATCTCGTAGTCCTATGCATAGTACAATGTATCATACAAACGCGATTGCACAGTTGACTGCCGTGCCATCGCCTACCGTGTGGAGATACTCCGAGCGATCAAGTAAGAAGTACATGTATGATTTATACCCCAAATTGGTTTTATTTCAATAAATGTTTTAATGGAAACTACATCTGGCCTGCACGATAATGTAAACTTCAGAACATGGGATTGGGAACTGCAGCATGAGTTTTTTACACCACCAAGAAGCCCTCAGTAAACTGTGTAGAATATGTGGCAGGCTCAACACTAAAGGCTTTGACAAGAGTACACAAATCAGCCCGTATGAATGCAAAAGTTATGTTAAAGAAATTGACAGTGCATTCCAAATAAATATCTGGAAGGATGATGCCCTTGTTCACCCAAATAAACTATGCTGGCGGTGTGAGAGATTTCTGCGACATGAGAGATTTGGGGAACGCAGTGGACCAAGAGATATTGTAGTGTATGCCAACTGGATCAAACATTCTCGAAATGGATCCTGCCCAGTTTGTGATGCATTTACAACCCAACAGCGTGGGGGCGTCCTAAAAAAAGAAACCGAAGTTGGAAAGGACTTGGACAAGTGAATCAGGAACAAACCCAAGCTAAATCTGCAACCCTAAATCTGCACTTCCCAACATCTCCCAGTGAACCAGTTCCAAGCAACCTTGACTTTCTTCCCAATTCTAAAGATGCCACCCTGTTTGTGTGTGCTATTTGCCAGTGCATTTTGGGAACACCCACAGTTCAGACTGCATGTGAACATCACTACTGTGCAGAATGCCTGTTAGCATGGTTTAGGTATCGCAGGAGTGACACTGTTCCATGTCCCATTTGCAACACAGTCATAAGTATCAATGAGATAAATCCATGCCCGCGAATTCTACGTGTTCAACTGACTACGCTTTCCACAGTTTGTGTGACTTGTGGAACTATCGGCCAACTACCACAAATGAAAGATCACTTGTGCCCACAAAAGCGCCCGCGACCCAAGTCTTTCGTATGCTACCCAAGCACAGAGCCCCTCCCCCACCCAGACCCCCCAAGTGATTCGCAAGCTACAATGGCGGCGAGACTCCTGAAATCCATGGCATCTGAGCACAAAGAAGGTACACCCATCCCTCCCGAGATAGAAACTGCAGTTGACCGATGGACACGGCACAAGCTAAGGCAGAACCAGAGTGCCCGACTAAAAACACCTGGCAGGGTAAATGATTTTGCCATAGCAGTTATTAAGAACAATGAGTGACATAAGTTTCTTAATGCTGACATGTTACCAGAAGAAATTTAATTGCTTCTCCAAAACACAAATCTTAATGAAAGTTATCTTTGCAATCCTTCACAATTGAAAATCCTTTTTTTAAATATCAAATTTAAGTATTTTGGAAGAAGGTGACATAATATTCTCACTGCTGACATAAAACAAGAAGAAGAAAAAATTGCCTCTCCAAACAGGAATCTTTATATACTGTAAAGTCTACTTTACATTCCTTCACAATTCTAAATTTCTTTTTTATCAAATTCAAAATACTTCATATATTACAAAATAACAAAACTGTTGCAACACTTACTTTTGGAGTAGAAAGTCTGAAATAAACACTTGGTAAAAAAAGAGCTAAAAATATGCACCCAATGTGTTTACTGACAGTGCTCATTAGTATTCGTAATTCATAAAACAAAGACTTGTTCAAAATATGCAAGTGAAAATGAAAGGCAATTGTATTATTATATCCCTTTTCAAGTTTTGAAACAATTATTTTCTTTTATGAATTACTAGTATTAATGCACTGAGAAACTGTAGGACAAATTTCTAATAATTTCCAATTGACCTTATTACAACTTGTTTTAATCAGCCTACATATGTGCAACTAGTAAAGCACTCTAAATCTGAGGCCGACAGTTCCAGCAGTGCATCCCCGCCAAGTGAGGAGGCTATGAGTGTAAACTCATCTCTAGGAATGATGCGAGAATGTCAATTTGCATGGGAGCAATTAAGAAAACTTCGCAGGTATATGAGAACAATGGCAGAATTTTTACTTATTAATTTTAAAAAGCAAACATTTACGTCAAGAAGTTTTTCTGAAGTAAAATTTTGAAGCTTGAGCTACTGAAAAAGTAGGTGCCTTTAACAACATAATATATAAAACATGGCTTCGCCCTTCCCAACATTGTACATGTATGTATCTAAATTTCAAACGTTTTCAGACACTTCCATTGCAACTGTATGTAAGGAAGTTTATTGGATCACATGTGCAACCCCAAAACAACTACTGCGATCAAAAGTAAAAAAATTAAATAGGTTGGGAAGGGCACAATTCAATGACGAACCCCCCCCCCCCCTAAAAAAAAAAAAATTCGCTGAACAATAATTTGACTTTCATTACAATGTTAACCAGCGATTTGCTAAAAAAAAAACTACAAAAAAACCACACAGGTACCTAGGGACTATTGGTGTGTCTATTCCGTCCGAGCGAGCAATGAGGAGTCAGCAGACCGCACTACTGAAGGACAACATCGTTGGCACAATGGTTCCAATGTTGTTCAAATCAAGCAGTGCAAGTGGTTCCAACGGCCTGGAGACGAAGGAGGTACCCTGTGTGACAGTGAAGGATGTCTCCTCCATGGTCTTCGACTATCTCGACAGGCATGACAGGTAACTGCAGATCCTATTATCATCATTATCTAAGTGCAAAAGGGAATTAATCCGTGTCTCAAATAGTGTGAGATTACTGGGAGTAGTATATGTTTAACAAGCCCAGTTTTTTTTCGGGGGGGGGGGGAGGGAGATTAGGTGGTAAGCAGGGTGAGGAAGGGGAGGGGAGGGGGAGGGGGAGGAGATTTCAGTGAAGCAGGGCAAGACTAACTATCTCTCTTGACTATGGGATATTAACTGTACAAAGAAGCAGGGGGAGGGGCAGGAGGAGTAGTGGGGAGGGGGTGAGGGATGAGGGGGGCAGAGGAGGGGATTTCAGTGGAGCAGGGCAAGACTTACCATCTCTAAAGACTATGGGATATTAACTGCACAAGGTTTTCACACTGTTGGGGAGGGGCAACTACCAATTTCTAATTGAGCTGAAGCAAATACTCGTTAATATGGAAAAAAAAGTGACTAGAAAATGACATCCATGTCATATTTTCTTTCAGACACCATTCTTTAATTTGGCCCAGCTTCATCCCCGAAAATGAAATATGGGTCAAAATAGGCGGGGATTTTGGTGGTTCATCTTTTAAGATGTGCTATCAAATAGTAAACACACGCCACCCCAACTCAACACGGAACACCATAGTTTTTGCCTGTTTTGAAGCACATGACTCGACAGCAAATCTCCAACAAGTGATGCCCCCAATCATGAAGCAAGTGACACAACTTGGCAAAATGACATGGAGGTAAGGTATTCAACACTTGCATGTACCATAAGGGCATAAAACTGACTTTCCATTTTGTGAACATCTGTTGATTTTTTTCCCTTCAGTTTTTTCGATTTGCAACCGCCACAAACTTCAATCTGGAAAGCCAACTTAAAATGGTTCTCTTACATACCTTTAAACATGCATGTATAACTGCTTTTCCCGGAAATATTTAGTTAGGAGCTGCATGACTCAACTTGGAATGTCAAATGAATTGTAGATAGTAGTGGCATCGGATACAATCACGAAAATGGTGCAAATGCACCTATCAGCTAAAATGGGAAAACAAGAATACAATAAATTTCAAGCTGAGACATCAACACAATTTAAATCACTTTGTTTGTTTCATGCAAGGGGAAAATCCATACGGCTATTTACATTTGGCGACTATGAACTCCTCACAAAGCTCTATGGGATATGCAGCTGCAATGGTGAGTAGAATAGTGCTACGTTATCATCTCGTGATCAGTAATAATTAGTATCAGATTTTAAGCTTGAAGTACATGTTACAATGTGATCAAATTCAGTAGCCCTTGTTTGTAACAAATCTCCTTAGTAATCAAAACAATTGCAGGTTTATTCAAAAAGAAAAAAAGAAAAAGAGAAACTCGTTTCAATTGTACATGTTTTCACACAGCACGCCACTGCTGCCTGTACTGCACAGCATCAAGAGGCCAAATGAAAGAGCCACTGATGAATAGAGGACCATCGCCATCACGAACCCTGGAGTCTATCATTGATAGTTATGAGGCTTACCTTGCTGATGGCTCCAAAAAATCCAGGGCAAAAGATATCTCCAACAGCGTGATAGCCAATCCACTTCTGATGATCCCAGTTGACCATGTAAGTTGCTCTTTAAGTGTCAAGTCTACATGAAACAAAATGTCAGTACATCAAGTTTACAGTTAAATGCAAATGAGCTATCATTTGATTAAACAGAATGAGCTTGATACACGTATTAAAATATTTAGTAATAAAAATGATTACTGATATTGATAACATGATTTTAAAGACATGTATCCATTTTTTCGTTCAGGTGGTGCTACCAACTCTCCACATGTCACTCGGCATTTTTAAGAAGCTGTTTGACATGTTGGAGGAGCGTTGTCATCAACTTGATGTGGAGCTGTTCACTCTCTGTGTACATCACACAGACCAAAGTGACAGTCCCAGTGACAGTCCCTCAGACCTCAACTTTGACCAACATATACAGGATCAATACATCGAACAACGAAAGGTCAAGGAGGAAAAAGCTACAAAACAGGCAGAGCTGGAACAAATAGAAGAGGAATTACCCCTATATGTTCTTCAGAAAGATCTCCAAACAGCTGATCCTGTCTTCAAAGGCATGGCCAACAGGGCATTCACACTTCGGCATGAGCTAGAGGAGCTGGTGAGTAGGCCTTTTGTGAAGTCACTTTCACTGAAATTGCTCTGTAGAAAGAAAATTCATTAAACATCATTTCATGATTGTCTTGTTTAACAGGAAAACACTGACCTCAGTCTTCCAGTAGCAGCAGGTCCAGTTGTTGGATGCCTGGACGATGTCTTGAAACAACACAAAGTACAACGCCAGGCCTACCACGGCAAGGCATTCGTTGGAAATCATGTCCACAAATGTTGCCAAGTATGTGCACTTCACCGTGTTGCAGTGTTAAACATGAATTCTCTTGGGACAGTTTCACACAAAATTGTGAAAGCAGGATCTTAAATAATGCATGGTCTTGATATGTTACCTTATCCGTGTCTATGCCCCTTCTTGGCCATAAAACTTTTCCTTACTTGTTTGATACACACAATCTAAAAAGAGATTGGTTAACATAAACAATCTTTGGTTGAAATGACCAACATTTCTTGGTTATTTCAACCAATGATTGGTTATGTTAACCAATCTTGTTTTACACACCAATCTACTTACAAAGAGAAATACACTTTGTCCGACAGGCGAATGTCATCCAAGACCTTACAGCAGCACCCAAAAAAGTCCTTGAAGAGCTGGATTTCGACTACATCCCCGTGTCCCAACACCAGAAGCTCATCCGTGATGCTGCCGAACTAGGGGCCATCTTCAGCGATGTTCTGTTGAAATTTGCAGATGTACACCATGGGATAAATCACAGCAGGCCAATCACAGAGGAGGACTTAAGAAAGATTGGTATGCAGAATTGTTGGGGGTTTGTTTGGGTTTGTTTTGCTTTTTATAACATGCTGCCTCTAGTTGTGGAATTTTTTTCTGGGGTTGTATTGATATTGATTTATTTTTCCCGTCTACTTTTAACTTCAAGACATATGCATCAAGAGCTTCATGGCTTGTTACAGAAGCCACTTCCCTACAGCCTCAATCACCCCCAAGCTTCACCTCCTTGAGGACCATACGCTCAACCAGCTACAGCGGTTTGGTGTTGGATTCGGAGTGCTCAATGAGCAAGGAGGGGAGCTTATACATACTGAATTCAATCGAACTGGGAGAGTGGTCCACGGCATGAGAGACCAGCTGAAACGCCTCATCACCACAGTGGAACGGCATCACATCAGCACCACCCCAGAGGTCCAAAGCAGCATGGCCAATCAACTGAAGGAGGAATGAAGACCTGCATCCTGCAAATTAAATAAATTTCAAAGGCCTCTGTCATAATGATGTGCAAACCCGACCCGAAACCTACCCAACCCGAAACCGACTTTGGGTCGGGTCGGTTTCTGTTTTGCATTTACATTTTAGGGTCGGGTCGGTTAAGCCATCTTTTGGAGGAAAAAACCCCGAAATAAACTGGAACAAATCGAAACAGTTGAGAAATTCAGGTGATAAAATATTATTGACAGTCACTGTGACCGCAGCCCATTTTGGTTTTGCAAAAGAATTCACGCCACGTGGGGCTGGGAAGGGCAGGCACAAAAAAGTGATCACCTTGTCCAAGCCAGGTATTCAGGGTTTTTTTACGTTTCATTTTGTCGGGTCGGTTTGAGGGAGTAAAAATCGGTTTCAGTTCGGATTTGGTTTTTATTTCTAATGTTTCGGGTCTGTCAGGCACTTTAACACACACAAAAAGTATTTGGTATATGAAATGTTCGGATCTACCTTGGCCGGGGGACACAGACGCACTACATTATTCCATGTTCCACTCGCGCTCGTGGAATATCTTATAATTTATATTACACTGGCCATGAACATGATGGATATTTGCATAGGCCTACTGTATAATCAAAATATGTGTAAATTGTAGAAATATCAGAATGTGTACATCCTGAAGTTATGTACATACTATTATTACATGCACTGGCATTGATAATTAAAATGCCATCTAGTGGCCTACTTTCTTTTTTTATACCGATTACTCGTTGTTTCAGTAAATGCAGATTGTCATGGCAGTTGAGTTGCTGCCTAAATCATAAATAAACAGTCACCCTGAAAGTTGTATGCTGCATGCAGAATGCCTAGATGCATCATGCGTAGATGTGATGTTTATTATGTAGGCTGACACACGTTTGTCATTACGTTACATGTCATGTATGCAAATCAAAGACATTGATTTATGCATTAAATATTTAACGTGTCATGATTGCATGTCACATTTGACGTCACATGACACATGCCAATCCCCGAGTAGCCTAGTACTAGGCCTGTTGACTTTTTTTTCAGAGTTCATAATACTTTAATAGCTTGCTCTATAAATCATGGAGCTATGGAGTACCGAAGTGAATAAGTCATACGCACAAAATGTGTGTTAAAAGACATTAGCGCATGATTCAGCCCGAGAACCAACATGCACGTGTGTACACTTTCTGGTTCTACTTCGGTAGGCCTACTCCTAGTGCTATACAGTAGTAGTCTCTACTACTAGTAATACCCTCACTATCTGTCTTTGTCAAAAATTTAAAAACTAATTTTATCGAATCATATTCATGAATTGAAATGTTATATGTGCATTAATATTTAGGCCTTGTCTCACACACTTGTCCTGTCTGTCTCCCGTTGTGTTTTGTTTGTCCCTTGTTACAGTACTTTGGTTGTATGTCTGTCCATAGGCAAGGGCACAAAAGCGTCTGCTTAACTTTATACCTAACTGTTGTCATTTAATCTTACACTTAATCGCTGTGTACAGGTGTACATAACTGTTATATATATTACTACTGACCTTTCTTAATTTATACATGATTGTACATAATTATAATGAATGACATCATTGAAATAAATGTTTCCAAACAAGGTCAGACCATACATCATGCTAGTTATAGAGCCATGCACGTGCACACACACGCACGTACACCCACACCCATTCTACCTGCCGCGTACACAGCACAGTACTACTACATGCTCCGATGTGTGAAATTACCCCTTACAAAACGCAACATATAAGAAAATTTGCCGATGGCTTTTACTTAATACTTACAGCAGATAAAGACAAATACAGCAGTTTCCAGTTGATTGCCATCACAAGTCGAGGAAAACTTGGGTTGAAGAGGAAAAACGACTTTTAATGGCGATAAATTTGTCTCGAGTGCAACGCGAACGACCACGCTGGAATTTTCCGCCGAATCATACGCTGGGGTCAAACGTCTCATGAATAATTAAATAAAATATTTGCATGTTTCAATAAAACTTAAAAACTATTCTACATAGATGAATATTTAAATTTACGTCAGAGACTTATTAACCAATCAAAATTCGAAAAACTGCTCCGCGTTCAACGACACTAAAACGGTGGGTCACGAAAGGTCAACGGGCAAACAACTCGCGATCACGGGTGACGTCACGAACACACTGGCATACTTTCGACAACAGAGGGCGCAATAAAATTGCGCTGGGACGGCCGTGCTAGCGACAGAACAACTCGCAGCCGCCAGAGATAATTGGCAACGAGAACGAACGAAATATCTAGATTTTCTCAACGAACGTATCAGAAAACAAAATGCCTCTAAAGAAACATTTTTCAACGTAGACCGAGCGTTGCGTTACTACAAGGAGGTGAGTGGACAGTCTACCGAACTACCAGTAGGACTGCAACGCGAACCCAAACTCGAAGATTTTTACGAGCCTAGCGACCAACAAATAGAAAAAGAACTGGCATCATCGCGGGAGGAATGCTATTGGTGGGCTTCTTGGCTTACAGATACCTTTAAATTTAAAACTCGTATAAATAAAATGAATGCGTATGGAAAAAAAGCTCAACCCCAGCAGGCTATTAAAATACCCAGATCTATAATGAGTGAGAGAAAAAAGGTGGTCATTACCCACAATCCCAATAGTATATCGGCGGGGAAAACGCTGAGGGTCAAGTAGCTTTTAATTTAGAACTCGAATGTGGAGGTGACAACAATAGAACCATTGTTAGCAATTTGGCCAGAAATTCAGTCCGCAAAATTAGCGTCAGGCTTCAAGGTAACGAAACCGTGAGTTATCGTCAACTTTAAAGACAATTGGCTCAACAACTCGACGACTCGAAACATGGCGTACTCGGCCATAGAAAAAGAAAACGTGTCTAAGCTAAGAACTGGGGCTCAAGATGCTATCGTGGGCGCCAACAACGGACGTACGAGATAAAGTTTAACGATCACGATTAAGTAGTCAACAGTTCAGATACAGCGGCAATGTATTCTATCTCAGACATGTCTCTCGAATACGAAGTGGTGACCAACAGAGACCTAGCTATCACCATCAGGAATAAACACCAGGGCTTAATGAAATACCTGTTTGATAAAATCCACTCGCTAGAAGTTAGATCCGTCAACAAATTGGACACGCTTTGGAACGTCAGCGTCAATCAACCCATCAGGAGTCTCAAGGGTATTTTGTTTTTGTTTAAAGATCCCGCGGTCAAAAATCCACAGCGATTTTACAACCCAAAAATAACCGAAACATCGGTGACCGTAGAAGGTAAACCCAATTAACTCTACAGTCAAGGAATGTTTCAGTAACAACACTGGAATGAATTTAGCTAGTTCTTTGGAGACAGCGATACCGAAGAGGGCGCGGGGTGGCAAAAGACTTAAATTTGACGGGTTTTAACCTCGGAGACTACCTAAAAGACAAGTACGGTCTATGGCTCGATTTTAGAAGTAACGACGACAATTCCGCTCACGGATCCGTCAGGAAACTCGGAGACGGAGGAGGCATCAACATTCAATTTAACAGAGAAGCCGAAACTCAAGATGACCTCACGATGTACGTCTTTTTGGTCATGGATGCTCAATTGAACTTGAAAGACGGGAATTTTTTATCTGTTAAGTTAAAATGACACAACCGCATTGCGCTTTAATCGTCGGCAAAACAAATTCGGGTAAAACAAAATGGATTTTGGATCTGTTAGAGTCAGACTATAAAAATACATTCGAAGCGATAGTCATCATTTGCCCTACCATTTTAAAAAACAAAACGTACATCGAAAGAAAGTCGATTCAAGCAGATCCAGAGGTAAATCTCTGCGACCTGGAATTGTACAAGATGACGCTGCACGTGCGCGCTAAGCAAAATGGCGTTTAGCGGAAG